TTACAGAAACATCTTCAAACCTTACTGTTTTTCTAAAACACTTAGATTTCCCCTTCTTCTTCCTTCCTTTGACAGAATCTCATGCAGCCCAGGGTGCATGTGCTACTCTTTAAAAAGAAAAGAAATGTGACTACTTGTCAAGTATGGTGCCACGTGCCTGAATGCTAGCACTGGGAGGAGAATCAGTACAAGACCCTCCTCTGATAATTAGAAAGTTTGAGGCCATCTCATACTTCCTAAGATCCTGTCCCAAAGTAAAGCAAAACAAAAATAATATACACATTGTAAAAGCTCGAGTGTAAAGAAGTAGATGTTTCTCCCTCACTCCCCCATGTCTAGGTCATTCCTCTGGTAGGCTTGTGTTTTCCCACATAACTCTATGTACCTTCTGCATAGATCATCCAAGTCAGCACATGCGGACTGTGTTAGTGGGGGTGGCTACACTCAAGATTTCCAACCACATGGCTTAAACAAAAATTCAGTCTCATGTTTACAGAGGTTAAAAGGCCCAGAGCAATGTTTTGGCAGGTTGTCTCATAAATGGCCCTTTAATGTCTTCTCAAAAGGCAGTCCTGATGACTTTGTATTCTTATCTCTCCTGATAAGGACACAAACCACTGGGTTAGGGACTATTCCAGGGATCCTGTTTAAAAACTTCACCCTTGGGGCTGGAGAGATGGCTCAGAGGTTAAGAGCACTGACTGCTCTTCAGAAGTCCTGAGTTCAACTCCCAGCAACCACATGGTGGCTCACAACCATCTGTTATGAGATCTGGTGCCCTCTTCTAATGTGCAGATATACATGGAAGCAGAATGTTGTATACATAATAAATAAATAAAATATTAAAAAAACTTCACTCTCTAAAGACCAAACAAAAATCACATTTTAGGTGCTGGAAGTTAGTATTTCAACACATGAAGTTTGAAGGAGACATAGGCTCAGTAATACTAACCTACTCATTTTAAAATAATATCCTATTGGGTAGATAGCCCATAATTAACACTAGGCCTTGTGTAGATTTCTAAAGTTATTCCCAATGTTTGTAACTAAGTCTTTGAATACTTGTAGGTGTTTATCCACAAGGAAAAACTTTGAATAACTGTAAGCATTGCCCTCTGAAGAGTTTAAAAATTATAGGGAGCTAAGAAGTACTGAGAGCAGGAGAAATAGTCTTTCCCAAGGAAGAGCACATCACTTGGTTACTCAATACCAAATGGTTAGCCCTGAAAACATACATACAAATAGCATTATATAAACTGAGCAGGTTGTTTTTATGTGTTTAGGAATATACATACATATATGCATGTACATATTTGTGTATGTATATATATATGTATATATATGTATATATGAATAAGAATGTAACAACAATAATGAAAACAGGCCATGAATTTGAATGAGAGTAAGGAGGGTATATGGGAAGGTTTAGGGGAGGGGAGGCAAAGGAAGGGCAAAATGATATAATATAAAAAAAAAACAAAAGAAGTAAAATAAAGATTATAGTCCTTAGTACTCTGTGATATGATGCTACTAAGAAATGCAAGAGTTTAACATGTGGTTTGTGACCATGGCCCCATGGACTGAGGTTGCTTGTACTTTTGGTTTGAGGAGTTTGCCGCCCACATGATTTCACCAGACATTACTCATTCAGCATCAATTTACCGAAGCAAGGATGGACAGTACTGCTTTGTTCATTTTTTACTTTTATTTTAAACAAAAGGCTTTTAAAAAAGAGTAATTTTAAGATCACAGCAAAACTGAGTAGAAAACATAGACATATTTTACATATGCCCTGTCACCACAGAGGTCGTTCTTCCCCAAACTGACCAGTATCCTCCCAGTATGAGCTTCTCTAGTGACATCAGTATCTTCCCATGATCACCATCCCTCACAGTGTCCCCCAGCACAGTGGCATGTTTGTTATGTCCAATGGCTCTATATCTCCCCTTTGTCTCCCAAAGTCCCTAGATTGTTACAGCTCAGTCTTGGTGCTGCAAACTGTACATTCATTTGTTTCATAAGCCTGACTTGTTTGGTAAAAGGCTTATGCCATATAGAGCCAGATGTAGGACACTAGCTTTTCTCTCGAAACTTGTGACAGTTTGGAGTTAGGCCACCCAGGAATTGTATAAGGTGAAGAACAGGAGGAGTGATGCCAGGGTAATAAAACTCTGGAGGCAGGGGCTGGATGGATCCTATTTTGTTGTAAGTTATGTTCTCCAAAACTGTGGCCAGTCAGCACAGGTGGAGTAACAGTTTCCCTGGAATTATAGTGTCCTTTCACAGACACTGTTTTCAGTTCCACCTGGTGCATTTGTCAAAATTCAGATTAAGGCTATGCAGTTCCCTTGTTTATTGGTATGGTTTGCTTTCAAGAGTGATTCTTGGTATAGTAGAAAAAGGCTACTGTTGAATTGCAATATTTTTTAGAATTTTCTACAATGTGTACATACATATAAATGTACATATGTCTGGTTTTTGGCAGTACTGTGTTTAGACCAATTGTGTTGCATTTGCTAGGCAAATTCTCTACCATAGCACTGTAAGTAAAGAGTAACATTTGACAAATATGGTGCGTGCATTGATACATGACTTTAATGATAGAGTAGAATTATACTGCTTGCTTCATTGTAGTGTTTTCTATAGTCATGTCCCTTTTGTCACTGTTTAGACACATTTAAATGTCTGTATGTATTCATTTTCCCATCTGTGGAGATAGTAATCTTAACTATTGACTCTGCTCTGGTATAGTTCTACCATTAGCCTATAGCTTTCTAGCTATTTCTAAAACACCTGAGATGACCAGCCTATAAAGGGAAGAGGCTTACTGGGCTCACCATTTAGAATATGGTTGGCTGTCTCTGTTGTTTTGGGCCTGTGACAAGTAGCACATCATGAGGGGAGCATATAGCAAACAAAGGGAGCCAGGGACTATCAGTCCCTTTCTGTGACCTGACCCTTCTTAGGCTCTTAGATCATTCCATGTTGGGCCAGTCTTTTACTATAGAACAGTGTTCATACTTACATATTCGGATGTAACGTGCAGTTTTTGTAATTCCTTTCATAGAAGCCCTGTTGGGTAACAGCTTCTCCCTCAAGTAAAATGCACCAGAGGGGGCTTTGCCTAGCAGTGTGTAAGGGATGTGTAGCTTATGTCCCATTACCGTTGTTACTTTATAAGTGAGGACATGAGTCTTGAAGAGGTAAACAGCTTTTATCTCTAGGTAGGAGAATCTAACCATCCCCACAAAGGCTGCCTTCTAGGCTGAACCGATGCACACTATGCACACCGATACCTTGTGTCTTATCAAAGACCTAGCTTTCCAAATAATGGAAAGCAGAGAGGGAATGTTTAATTGGAAAGGACTTGCTGTACAGTACAGGGAACTGATTTGATTTCTAGGACCCACATAAAAACCGAGTGTGGCAGCCCACCTCTATAATCTCAGCACTGTGGAGACCAAAACAGGAGGACCGCTTGGGTTTGCTGGCCAGCTCATCTAACTGAATTGATGAGATCCATATCTAGTGTAAGACTCTGTCTTGAAAAGTAAAGTGGACACATGACTGAGGACTGAGGAGTGACACCCAATATAGACTTTTAGCCTCCACATGCATGTACACACATGTGCAACACACAGGGTGATGTGGTGCACTGATCTAGTTTTCCCAAGGGAAAGACTTTGTATACTCTTAGTGGTACAGCAGTTCTGTGCTCACTGAGCCCATGCCCCACTCGTTAGCCCAGAAAGATTGCCCCTAAGGGGCATGAGACTGTGAAATAGTGCATGTGTAAGAGGTACCTATGAGCTTGTCTTTGGGGTCTCAAGTTGTAGGCTTCCCTCTATAAGCACAGCACTGTCCTCCCAGCATGTTCCTAGGCAACACAGTTTGTACTTAGACTCTGGATTTTGACATTTGATTGTTGGGTCCACCTTCTTATTTCCCGCATAATCTTTCCCATGTACTCTTTCATTTAATCCTTTTTCTAGTTCTTAGATGCTGTCTTTGCTTTTAGCTGATCCAAGAAACCTTTGTTTTCTCTTAAGTGCAATGACTGTGCACTTCTGAGGAAGTCCCTTTCCTGCTTATTCCTGGCCATCTCCCAAGCCATTAGTGCTCATCATTCGAGACAGTATCTGACTACTTCTAGCAAAAGCTTTGCCACACACTCCTCTTATGTCCTGTGGTCATGATGACCAAAAGAATACTCATCTTGAAGCCTGGACGTTCCACCAGCCAAAAGTTAGGCAAATGTTTGTAAAGCAGTGGGCTTGTATGGGATGCCAACTGGATCTCCTATAATTCAATTAAAGCCTGACACTACCAAGGTTTGGTACCGTCTCACAGAATTGTCTCAACTTCTGAGGCCACTCACAATCTGAACCTCACGCAGCCTATCTGATTGGATATAAGCCTGAATTCCTCCCCTTTGCGTCTAGGGTGCAGTAATTTGCTGAATTGCTCACAGAATTTAGGGAAAGCTCTGTACTTATATTTCCCTGATTACCATAAATGTTAAAAATACCCAGCCAAATGTACAGGGTGAGGAGTCCCAGAGGATGCAAATCTCAGTAGTATCTGTTCCCACAGTGATGGGGCACATCTCTGGGTACATGGATACATTTACTGACACAAGTTTTGCACCCACTCTTGAGGGGTTTTGTAGACGTGCCAATATGTATCACAACTGATTCAATCACCAGCAATCACCTATTCTCTCCCTGAGAGGAGAGAGCAGGGAGATGAAATTTTCAACCTTCAGTGTCATGTGGCTGATGACTTCTGACAGACAGACCCCATCCTAAAATGACCCGGGAGGGGACTCACCAAGAGTTGTGCCTTTAAGCAGACTAAGGTGTGGCTTAAAGGGGCTTATGAATAACAAGACACTTCTCATCTACCCTTGAAATTACATTGGTTCCAGAGGCACATGTTCCCATGACCCTGAAGAACAGTCACAATGGCACACTCTGAGAGGATGTTTGTGTCTTTCCTAGTTGGCCTGCTGTTGCGGATCTGCTGGATGCTCCCTCTGCTGTGGCTGCTGCCCTAAGGTCCGACAGTCTCGGACCACCCGCTTCATGTACTTACTCTACTTCATTCTGGTCGTCGGCCTCTGCTGTGTGATGATGTCATCCTCTGTGACCAAGCAGATGAAGGAGCATGTAAGTTTGTGGTTTTTTGATGGAGTTTATAAGAAACATGATTTAGAGGGCTGGGTTTCACACCACTGTGATTTGGGGTTTGTTACATGACTGTTACTGTGATAAAAAATCATGACCAAGGCAACCTACAGAGGAAGAGTTTATTTGGGCCTATGGTTGCAGAGGGATAAGGGTTCATCATGGTGGGTTGGCATAACAGCACATGGTAGGCATAACAGCAGAAAGTTGAAAACTTACATTTTGAACTATAGCACAAAGCAGAAAGTACAGAGTGGAAGTTGGCATGGCTTTTGAATTAGCTTACCTCCACCCCTACCGCATGGTATACTTCTTCCAGCAAGGCTGTACCTCCTGACTCTCCCCAACAGTGCCACCAACCAACCTGGGACCCCGTATACAAATGCCAGAGGCTGTGGGAGACATTTCTCATTCAAACCACTGCACTTGGTCTCTGAACTGTCTCAAAGCTTGTCCACTGCTTTCAGGTCAAGAAGGCAAGCCATTCAAGGGCTTGAGCTTTAATTGATCAACTAGTTAATGTCTAGGTATATCTATGAATGCGATGATGTATGATGTGTGTCTGGGTGATTGTGAAGACCAGAGGAGAACAACAGGTGATCTACTCTTATTCTCTGTCTTACTCCTTTGAGACCAGATCTCTCACTGAACCTAGAGCTGGGTTGATGATTGGAGGCCAGCAAGCCTCAGTGATACTCTTACCCATCACTGCAGTGCTGGGGTTATTTATAAGCATGTGTAGGCATGCTCAGCTTTTTACATAGGTGCTAGATCCAAAATCAAATTTCCATGCTCAGGCAGCAAGTACTTAACCACTGCCATCTTTCCAGCTGCAATAGCTTTATCCTTAGAGGAGGATAGCCACAGTTGGATGCTGTTGATAAAGAACGTTGATGTCAGAGAATTGTTTTTGGTCTCTGTTTTGTTTAGCTGTTTCTGATAAACAGGATCTTTGCTTATAGAACTGTGCACATCTCTGTCATAAGGATGGCTGTCAGTGTTTCAAATCACAGCTTGTTATGAACACTTAGGAAGGGATGATGCACCTTTGACAGTACCACAGAAACCAGAGAGTGGTTTGTTAAGCCTTTAGCCTTTCTAGACAGACCAGGGTAGTGTTGCCTCTTGAGAGTTAGGGCAAGAGTTTAGCCATTTTTTGGGCAGTCTGTATTCAGAGATGCCTGGAGTTTGACATTTATGGAGACTATGTGAGACCTTTTCCTGTTTCCCCATAGTAGGCCCCTTGATGAACTATATTAGAGTTCAACGTGTTGTAGTCTCAAGAAACCCCAATAAACAACTCAATTCTTCCTGTCCCAGGTTCTGAAAAAGAGCCTAAAATGTCAGCAAGTAGAGGCCAGATATGTTCATTACTTAACAAGCCACAAGACATCATGCAGGTTGTATTTGCAATGAGGTAGGCTTTCTCCTTAGCTCTTAATCCAATCAGTCCCAATTCACATGTGCTCCATTGGCTTGGTACATGACAGAGTTTTTCCACTAGTGTCCAATTTGCCAGGAAGAGAGGGCAGTGGTGTGTTGAGGGCAGCTCTCATCCCATGGAAGTGGTAGATGAAAGCTTAGCTGTCGAGGCCCATTTCCCTGTAGTACACCACCCAGCCCTTCATCCTCCCAGGCAGGCAGTGGGGAGGTAGAGAAACCAAGCCTTTAATGGGGCTGCATCCCTTTTATGGTGATGATAGCTTTGGCTGGGGCAGCTCCTAAGCAAACTGTGCCCCAATCCTGTGCTACACTATGGACACTTAATTACACTCTGCTTTAAAACAACCATTTTTCTTTCCCCTTCTCTTTATGCTGGGAATACAACCGGGGTCTGGCATGAACCAGTCAATCCCTCTTCTGATCTACACCCCAGCCCAACAAACATTCTCTTAAAAGCTCTTGGTCTATTTTTATCCTGTTTATCCTTTAGTTAGCATAGGCCTGTTGGAGCTTCCTGTTGGGCAATGCATTAATAATTGTGGTTGCATGGTTTTGATTAGAATATAAACTATAGGAAAGCCTCTGAGTAAGGCACCACAATGGGCGATGTGGTTATGTTTAGATGAGAAGTACAGTTTGTCACTCAGAAGACAAGGTAAAATCCACTAGGTCCTGTGTGGAAGATGCTGTAGAATTTGGAGGCAGAGAGATGAAGGGTTTGGCTGCCTTAAGGAGTCTATGCCAGACTTGCTGTATGTTGATTGACGAATTTACCACCCAGTTCCTACTAGCATCATGGTTTAGCTTTGTTTGGTGAAAGACGTTTGGGCCTATGGGGCTGGAAATATGGCTCAGCAGTTAGGAGCATATACTGCATTTGTTGAGTTTGCTTCCCAGCACCCACTTCATATAGCTCACAACTACCTGTAGCTCTAGCTCCAGGGGGTCTGGCACCCTCTTCTGGCCTCTGCAGGCACCTGCATTCACATGCATGCCTGCTTCCATTATATTCATTTTAAAAACAAAACCTTTTAAGAGCTAGCATGCTAAAAGGATAGCTTTAAACGAGGGTCTGTTTAATCTCCCCTTTACATTCATTCAGACAGGCTCAGTGAGGCCTCTACCATTGAGCTACACCCCAGCAGGCCATTTACTACTTTTTTTTTTTTCTAGTAGTGTGATGCTCTCTTTCAGGTTCCATGCATGAGCAGCTGCTTATGACCCACTGTGGTCCTGTAGTAAGACGTCTTTGTCTCAGCTGTCTATGGTATGAGCTCTGCTCTTACGATTTCAGTACAAGTAGAATGAAGGTCTTAGGTCCAAGAGACCTAATATGTTACATCTCTTGGAACGAAACACTGCAATTGTAATTGTATAGTTAGTTTAGAAACCAAAGGTATGTGCTTCAGGCATAAATTTTATAATTACACACCCGATTCCCATTCAAGTATCTTGCTCCATGCAACACCCCCTAACAGCTCCATCTGGTATCTGTACTTCCTGAAAGAACCTTCAACAGGAAGATATTGACGAGTGTTGCCCAGGAAGGCTTCATGGACGAAGTGGCATGTATAAGCAATAAGTATTTTAAGAACTGCTTTTTATAGGGTAATACCATATGCCAGATTTTAGTGTGAGAATTTAGCTTTATCTTCATCCTTCACCACTGTTCTTGGCCATATAGTAGGTGCTGTTGTTTATCCCATTCTACAGGGAAGAAGCAATGAGTCATGTAACCAGTTTACACCAGGCCTTAGCAGCCATCTAGAGGTAGAGTTAGGGTTTGCACTGTGCAAATATATGCTTAGCTGCTGGGCTATGTAGCTAGAATGGCAGAGAAAGTACAAGGACAAGAGGGACAGGAGCCATTGTAGATTCCCAAGCAGAGGTGATCATCATGGAACAGGGAGAAACTGGGGGAAGTGAGCACACTGGGGTGACATAGGATCAGAGATCAGATGGGTGGGGGAGGGAAGGTGCAACTCTGGATTCTCGTGCCTGCCTATTTAAAAATGGTTTGTTTGGTCAGGCTTCCTGCATAGGGAGTGAGGTCACTCTGGGCAAAATAAACCCTTTCCATTCACAGGGGGACAGCTATCTGGCCACAAAGTCAGCTTGTTTTGTGGTGCTAGAATCAGGCTGACCTCATGCTCAGGCGCTGCTTGAGGGTGGGCCCTGAAAGGTCTCCTTGTAGTGCACAGGCTGGCCCTCTGTGGTTCCTTGCCTGTCCTTTGTTGGCCTGTGGAAATTTGAGAGGTGAGAGTAGCAGAGGAAAAAGAACTGCAGGCTTGTGGCCTGCACAGGGTGTGTCATTGTCTCCCACCCTGCATTCTTGCCTCTTAGCAAGGGCCCTGTTAGGGTCACGTGGCCTGTGGGGTGTGGGTTGAGAACAGGAGGCTTCTTTCTGGTTCCAGAATGCTGCCTGTGTATCTCCATGAGAAGGGACTACAAAGAGATGCTGAAGCCACTTTGCTTTGCTTTGCATGAGGGAAACCCCACTGCCCACAAGACCTTTGACTCAGAGAAGGGTCTCCTGTATGGTTGAGTCATAGCATGTAGTTTCTAACTTCTTGGAGCATTTTTTTCCATGTCAGAATGTAGGAGCCATTTTAAACAGGCTGTTCTTGCCAGTCACTATGGTGTTAAAGTGAGTACAGAACTTGGGCTACTTGATGCCTTGGGGCTTTCATGGACTTTAGAATGTGGAACACAAGAGGAGAAGCAGGCAAAAGAATAAGGGCTGCAGATCTACACTGATAAAACAAGACCTGCCTGCCTGCTTTGGAGATAAAAAGTGACAGTTGAGTGCCCCAGAAGCCGGGTCATTTGGGAGGGAGGATAAAGGAAGTTTCCTGTGTGCTCACTGACTGTCATGGGAAGAGCCTTCAGTGCAGTTTTACATCGTCGGTCTATATTTCCCCTGTATTCTACTTGGTGCCTGCATTGCTCTGATTGAGGGAGATGTCTGACATGGTGTGTTTAAAAATGTAAAACCCCAAATATATTATAAATAGTGTTGGGAACTCATTTGTTTGGTATATGGAGTGTGGAACATGATGTTGTAATGTGTTTATTTTAAATTAAGTTGTCATGATCTCTTTGCTGGTATCTGGAATGCTACCCTGACCACCATGCTTCCCCTGCTTCCTCCACTCAGAACAGGACTTGGGACATTGTTAGATTTTTCATTTTCTTCCTCCACCCCAGTACTGACCACAGATTTTCCATGGACAGGCCATGGAAGTATTTGTTTTGTGCTGTGCACGCTCTGCTCAGTCACAAGTTTGCTGCCCTGGGTTCCTGCCCTCAGCCTTCCTTCTCCAGATAACTGATCCCACCAGTGAGGACATTCTTGCTCCTTGTTCTCCATTGGCGTCACCCCATTGCTTCGACTGTTGGCCACAGAGGCTCCTTTGCTTGGGTTTTGAAGAGGTTTCCTGAGTACAGCATCTAGTTGTCAGTTAGTTTGAATGATATGTTATACTACTTTGGTGGTTCTTGGAGTTGACAGTGCCATGCATTATATTTAAGACTGTAGA